ACACACACACGAACGCACGCATGCATGCATGCACGCACACACGCGCACACGCGCACACACTCACACACATGCACGCACGCATGCACGTGATTGCACTGTCCATTCTCAGCTTTAACCAGCTCACTGGCACACTGAGCCCCGACTTTGGCGACGCCTGGCCGGCAATGGAGAAGATCTTCCTGAATGCCAACACCTTCACGGGTCCGCTGCCGGACGAATGGTCCGCAATGGGCAGGCTGAAGGCTCTGTACCTCAAGTGAGTTGCTGACGTGGCTGCTGGGTGTTTGGGTGGGTCGCAGGTACTTAACCCCTAGTAGGGGCGAGCGTGGGAACGGTTTGGGACAGGGCGGGTGGTTATAGAAACCATCGGGCCATTTCCTTCAGTGTATCAGCTGCAAAAGAAGCCAAGCTGAACAAGTTGTGCAATTCCAAAGACCAGCGGCCATCAAATTTTGGCTCCCAACACAACCGACTGACAGCCTCCGTGCTGCTCTCTCACCCAAATCCGTGACGTCCCTGCTCAGTTACAACAGGCTCACTGGCACGCTGAGCCCTGGCTTTGGTCCCGCATGGCCGGCGTTGGAGGAGCTGCTTCTGAACGGCAACGGTTTCACGGGCCCGCTGCCCGCGTCCTGGGGCTCCTTCAAATCGCTCAAAACGCTTTGCTTAGCCAGCAACCGCCTTCAGGGCAGCGTCCCGACCTCTTGGGGCGCGCTCGCTGCGACGCCCCTGAAGTCGTTATGCCTGTCGTCCAACCCAGGCTTGGTGGGTTGCCTGCCGCAGGGCCTTGACAGGATTGTGGGAGGCAAAGCGTTCTGTGGCAACACGGGGTTGACGTGCTCCACCTGCTGACTCGCTACAGGCAGCATGCTGTGGTGATGGCCGTTCTCGAAGTCGGCAAACTGCCGCTGGTGACGCGTCACGAGTACAGCCGCAGGCCGCAGCAGCCCTGCATCCTCGAATGCTTCATAATTCTTATCCGCCCAAGTGTGGTGCGACAAAGGTTGACCTGCAGCCCCCATATGCCACTTTCAGCAGCCACAGGCAAGGGGCCACGGCTGGGGGTTCCCATCGCACCTGATTTCTTGTTGCCCAGATGCAGCCCGTTCTTGATCCCTGGCCACTGTTTCACTGACCGCGCCTTACGTGCGGTATGTCTTGCAAGTTCATAAGCGCCCTGCCTGCATGAAGCTGACAGCTGACACAGGGCAGTGCTGCACAAGGCCGATAAGCCAGCTCAGCAGCGGCGTTCTTGGGCGAATTTACAAGGTGAAGTCAAGGGCCCTGCTGCCGACTGCGTTGGCAAACGGCTGAACATGCAGGTCAGTCACGCCCGTGGCAGAGTCAGTTGCTGGACGACCAGAGCATGTCATGTATGCCCACAACAAACAAAGGCTTCAGACCGAAGTGCCCCAGGCACAAGCATAGTGGATCAGCAATACAGAATGAAGACGTCCCTGGCTTGCCATTCGCCTGCAGCCGCCGCCCCTTCATGTGTCGTTGTCCAACGCTGTGGCGGGGACGGGCATCGGCATCGCCACCACCGCCCGCGCCGCGTCGGTGGCCGCGTTGCGCACCTGAACATGGCAAGGCGCGGTGCAGTCGGAGCTCGCACACGCAGTGCTGCGCAGGGAAGCTGTATGCCTGCGTGGGCCTCCCACCATCACATCAGCAACTGGTCCCAGCAGCTCCAACACTGCACCGGCGATTGCTGAGGATCGCCTCTTGCATACACTCACACACACACACACATGCACACACAAACACGTACCCATACACACAGACAGGTGCATACATGCAAGGTGTCACCCAGAGAAATATATGGGCGCATACACACTCCCTCACAAGTACGCGCACCCACACTCACAAACGCACCTCGTCCAGTGTGTGGCGTATGTCCAGCCTGTGCTGCATCATGGAGTCCAGCGCCTGGTGGGTGGCGCGCCGCAGGGACTCCAGCTCACCCTGGCAGCGCCTGCATTTGTTTGTGAAACGGGAAGTGGGTTTGGGAGGTGAGGGATCAGCCGGCAGGCCTATTTTCGCGTACAGGAGGTGCGAGGTATGCCAGCAGGACTGCAGATGCGGTCCTCGCAGCCAGGCCATCTCCACCAAGAGCAGCACAGCACTACGGCACAGCAGCAGCAGCAGCAGCAGCAGCAGCAGCAGCAGCAGCAGCAGCAGCAGCAGCAGCAGCAGCAGCAGCAGCAGCAGCAGCAGCAGCAGCAGCAGCAGCAGCGGTTGTCATCAGCAGCACGCCCACCTCTGCAGGGCCTCGTACTCCGCCACCGCCGCCCGCATGCGCTCCTCCGCCTCCGATAGCCCCGCCGCCGCCGCATTCCGCAGGGTCGCCACCTCGTCCTGCGAGGGCGGGTTGCGCGTGTCCCATCGTGCCGGTCCTTCATGGCTGCTGCGGTACCCAGCATTCAAACAGGCACCACTGCACGGCTCGGGGGCGGGCGTGCGCAACACACCCATGACCAGCAAGTCACAAACACACAAGCCCCTCAAGACCGCAACAAAGGGCAGAGGCGAGACAGGCAAAGCATGACCTTCATCTGAGACACCTGCTATGCTCAGGATCAGCCCCCCCTGCCCCACCTTGATCCTGTCGGCCTGCTCCCCCGTGGTGCGCATGTCACCATCCAGCTCATCGCGCAGGGCGCGGTACGCCACCTCCAGGCGCTGGACCTGATGGCAGGGGGATGATGCATGGAGATAGGGCCGAGGCTTAAGTTTAGCAGTAGCGGGGCTGCGGCGTTGGTTTGCATGGTAGTGGACTGTTGGGACGCTCCGCGCATGGTGGAGGATCTCTCAGGCCACCAACTTGGCTTATGAGGTTCGGGACTGAAGCGCCTTGCTGCCAGTCACGCTGCCAGAATTTTCTTGAAACCCCGCCAGGGCCTTTGGCTGGAAAACATGCCCTGCTGCGCCGCCTCATCGGCCATCACAAAGCCGCCAGCCCTGTGCGCAACCCCCACCTGCAGCTTTGCGTTGGCCTCGTCCTCTGCCCGCTCCCTGACCGCCTCGCGTGCTGCATCCAGCTGCTCCGCCAGGCCCAGGCCGTCCTGGTTTTGAGCAAAACAAATCGATGACACGTGAGCGCCTGTCAGCAGGGGCACAAGCATCCAGGACAGATCCAGCAGCCTGGAAGGGACTGCGGGCTCCTTGCTGCCACCTTCACGGCCTTCCTTGCACCCAGGGCCGAATAAAACCAAGTCAGGGGGCCAACATGTGTCACAACATCACAAGCTTGCCCAACACTACGCGCACATACAGCTCACACACAACACAGACACACGCGCTTGCGAGCCGCCCAAGCACTTTTGACACCCATATCAACACACTCAAACTCCCCTGCAACAGCTCTCCCTTACACACACATGCACACACATATGCACCCACACGCATGCTCACACACCCATAGACTGAACACCCATCCCCCCACAACCACGCACCTCCGCAAGGTCCCTGGCGCGGCCCCTGTACCGCTCCCGCAGCGCCACCAGCCCCGGCTTGATGCTGCCCTGCGATAGGAGAGGGGGCAGGCGGTTCAGGCGTGAGAAGCTGGCGAGGAGGGGAATCTAGCTGCGTCACTCGCACAAGCTCCTAGGTCAGGCCGGCAGCAGGGTGCGATTTTTCATGCTGGGCAAAGTCAGGGTGAGCGAATCCAAGGCGGCGCACCTTGATGTCTGCGCCGACCAGGCCCTGCGGCGCCTCCTCGCCGCGCGACACCGACAGCTCAAAGTTGGTGCCGCCCGCGCGCTTTGCGCTGGCAGGGATGAGCGCCAGCCTGCACGCGGGGCAGATGTGTGACGCAGCAGAGCAGAACTGCTTGAGAGGTGTAAGCGGCTGGCTGTGCGGCCTCCTACTAAGGTCCAGTGCCGCGCGGCAGGCGCGTGGTGCAACATCTGCTGCATGCGCACATGCTTGACCTGGCCCGCTGCTGCTGCTGCTGCCGCCGCCCTCCGCTGCTGTTGCCGCCGGCGCTGTTGCTTCTGTCTCTGCCGCCGCTGCTGGCGTTTGCGCCGCCGCCGCTGATGCCAGGTGCTAACCCGACGCCCCTCCCACCTGTGTGCCGCCAGGTTGTACTGCCGCACGCTCTCCTCCAGCTCCTTCAGCGAGCGCTCCACCTGCAGCGGTGCAGGGCCAAAGCGGTGGTGGTGGTGGTGAGGCAGTATCCAGCGCATCATGCCGTCTGCTTTAGCACCCGCCGTCATCAAGAATACCGACACACTCGCGACATGCTCCCCTCCCTGCTGACCGCCAGCATCCTTTCAACTCCCTACTCTGCATGCCCCATGCCCAAAACAAACTCACCTTCAGCTCCTGCTCGTACGCGCGCCGCTCGAGCCCCTCCCGCGCCTCCACCACGCTGTCCAGCACGCCCTTCAGCTTGCCACGTTCAGCCAGCAGCCTTAGTTGATGGCATGACATGTGTGTGTGTGTATATGTGTGTGTGTCAAGGGGGATAGAGGAGGGGTGAGCGTGTGCCTTGGCGTCGACGCGCATGCCTAAGCGGGCGCTACAACGCGTTGTTTCATCCATGTGCGCCCCACAGCAACGCGCAGACGCACCGGTTGACGTCGGCGCGAGACAGCGACTGGTTCGCGATCTGGGCCCGCAGCTGATCGTTTTCCTGTTTCAGAGGTGTGCGCCGTCAAGCAAGGGGCACTTGAGGTAGGCCCGTGGCTGGCAGGACCTCTCAAGACTCACGCAAGACAGGCCACCGGCGGACCCGACACCAACGCGAGCTTCATCAAACGCGCTGTTATCACTTCACTTGCAGAGCTGCAACCCCCCACACACACCTGCAGGATGTCTGCTAGCTGCTGCTTCCGCGACGTCAGCTCCGCCTTGCGCTCCTCCACCTTGCGTGCACATGTGACCTTGGCCGCCTGCGGCCGCGCAGCAGCGTGTTGCGGGCGACCACGTGGATAGCATGCGCGCACACCTCATCCGTGCATTCAGCATACTGGCGCTGCATTGGTGTATAACCGCAACATGTCAACAGCAATGCATGTGAAGGCGCCGGCGCTTGTTTGATTGCTGCTAGCACCCCAAGACTGTCTCGCACCCGCATGTTCTCCAGGGCCGCCTCAAACTTGGCCTTGTCCCGCGAGCACTCGTCCCGCGCCGCGGTCGCCGCCACCAGGGGGCTGGGCGCCGTGCGCAGCGACTCGAGTGTGCGGCCTAGCGCGTCTGACGACTGCAGGGGGTGAGTCATTGTAAGGTGAGCGTCAGAGGCAGGTGTGTGCAGCTGCCCGTTTTCAGCCTGCCTAAACACAATTGACATGACCTCTGGCACTCACTTTCGTTGAACCAATCCACCCATCAAACCTCGACGTATGCATCCCTGTGACGCTTTCTCCGCCTGCCCTGCAACCAGTCGATTACCCACCTCCCTCAACCGCTCCAGCTCTGAAGTCAGCGCTCCCTCCCGGTCCCGGATCTGCCCCAGCATCTCCTCGTCCGCCTGCGCGCAGCGCACGTCATCCCCAGACAGAAACGACCTAGGGTTTGGCCGATAAAGCAGGCATGGGGATGACCTGTCAGCGGCTTGCCCAGGCACGGTTTGGCGCCCACAGCTGAAGTCGCGGCCCGCGCCCAGCGTCCGCTGCCAGCCGTGCCTCTCATCGGGCGATTTCTGCTGCTGCTGGATTTCCTTCTTGGTCAATGCAGCCATCCACTGCCCCACGCTTCCCCGCCCCGCAGCTGCAAAGCAAGCGCATCCCCAACCCACCTGTAGCTGCCTGCGACATACTCGTAAAACGCTCGCTCGCTGCGTTGCCGGTCCGAGTCTAAAGATCCTGGCCCTGCCGGGTCCGCCGCCGCCTCCTCGGCCTTCTCCTCATAATTGAGCAGCTCCACCAGCCATGTCAGCGCAGCGAGCACGCTCGGCCAGCTGTGCGGGCTGCCGACGGCGAACAGCGCCGACTTCGAGATTTGAAAGGGGTAGTTGAGACGCTTGAAGAACAGCGGGACCTCGTCCTCCACCTTGCCAAATACTTTCATGCTGGGGTCGAACCGCTGGAACAGGAACTGCACGATCTGGGCAAAGTCCTTGCCCGTAGGCGAAGTCAGGATCTTGGGGGACACGGCATACGGATACCCGTGCGTGGAGAGGTAGGTGATCACGGTGCGGATGCACGCGTTGAGGAAGTTCTTGTCGCCCAGCGGCCTCGGGTCCGCCTTGAGGCCCGCCCCACCCTTGCCAAAGGCGCTGGAGCGTCGATCTAGCATCGTCCCTGGGGCCACGGAGGGGCGGCCTGGCTTTATTGCCATGCTCTGCCTCCCAGCACCTCCCTCCTTGCCCGCTGCTGTTCGGCCCGCCATGCTGGGACGGCCGTTGGGACTGAGGGCGCCCAGAGTCTCCCTCCGGCTCATGCTATCCGCGACCGCGCAGAGGGCTGGGCCGCGGGAGCACCGCAGCTGTGACGATTTTTGAACGCGGGGAGCAACAACGATCGACACTGACAGGAACGAGATAGGCAAAAGCAGAAAGCTGAATACAAATCGATTGAATGACTGGGCAATGAATTGGCTGGTGTTGCAGTGATCTGCAGTGTTGCGCTGCACCACTGCTGCACATGGTGCCGTTGCTGTTGCTGCTGTTGCTGGTGCTGCTGCCTGGGCCAGGAGCTACGGGACGGCAAGCCGGCGAACGTCTGCAACACCCCATAGACTCTCCTGACATCCACAATCGATGTGCAATGGTTGTGAGTGTGAGTGTGAGTGCAGTGCGGTACGATCAAGCGAAAAACACGAGACAGGATCCTTGCAGGATTTATTTACAGCCTGCACTGGTCCGAAACGACCCCTACTGCACCGCGCTCGGCAGCGGCGCCGCGCTCGGGTCAAAGTTGGCGGCCGCATCCCAGTAGTGCGCGACGCCCGCCTTCTCCAGGATGGCGCGCGCCGCCTCGGCAGTGGGCGCCTCGTGGCGCGTGAATTCTTTGAAGGCTGCCTCCTTGACCACGCCCTGGGGTTGGAGTGAGCGGATGCGGGTTTGAAAGACGAGAGACAGACACATCATAATCAACACAAGGGCGGCAACCGATGCAGGGGTTGCCTGCGTCAGTCTGCTAGGCTCTGTGTTGCCATCTTCGACGGCCGGACCGGCTCTTTCACAGGGGACTGGAGGGGGAGGGCAGGCTGGAGCGTGCGCTGGCGATGCTGCAACATTGACTTGCGACATACCTCCTAGCCCCAAACGGCGAGTACCCCTGTGCAAACTGCCCACTCCCTCCCCGAATACGCGCCCACCTCCCACACTAGATGACACGCGTTTTCCCGCCCGTCGCCCGGCCCCTCCTCCTCCTCCTCCTCGTCGCCGCCGCCGTCGCCATCCGCGCCGCCGCCCCCGCCGCGCGGCTCCGCTTTTTGGGTCCAGTCTATGCGCCGCAGCATGAGCTTGTGGTACCTGGGGACGGGACCACATATGCATTTGAGGCCCCAGCAGTGAAATGGCAATCCACAAGCAGACAGGCACAAGGAATTCCACAGCTGCGCTTAGCGGCGTTTTTGGCATGGTTCCTGCCACCCATAAGCCCCCTGGTTGGCAGCGGGCGGCGCTGCAGCCCGCGCCCTGAAGCCCCATCCCAGTGAACACCCACCGTTTGAGGCTCTTAGCACACCCCTCTGCCACCACCACGCTGAAGTCGGGTCCAATGATCATCGCGCCTGGGGAGGGGGGGAGGGCGGTGGTATCAAGGGTGGGGGGAGGGGTTTTGTGAGTGCGTGTGGCAGGCAGGGGCGTACAGCAAAAGGCTGCCCGCAGGAGCAGCATGAGATTTGTGCCAACCCCGCCGACACCGCAGGTGAGGGCGCCCCCCAAGGCTGCATGCATACACCGCCTCTGCGACCTTGCCTGCTAACGGATAGATGATTGCAAGGCTCCCCCAAACACGAATCCCAAACCTGCTGACCCCTTGTGCCGCTCAGACCCCTTCCTTAGTGCATGAATGCGGACACCTACGCGTCCTCACACACAAGCTGCCCCCTCTCTTTCACACACACACACGCGCGCGCGCGCGCACGCGCGCGTGCGTCCATATTGCCACAAGGCGGCTTCACGCACCTGACATGTGGTTTTCTTTGGCATTCACATCCACCTTGAAGCGGTGCTGCCCGTTGCTCAGGTCCTCCACCCTGCGGCAAGCCAGAGGTTGGCAGTTCTCAAAGCAGCACGATTTGGGATTGGACTTGAACTGGTGACAGGACGATTGAGTGCGGGTCGGCGATGCAGGCGGGATGCTGGAGTCGCCCTGGGCCGAAGCAAGGCGCTTTGTTATGCGCGTTGAGTCCCTGTTGGGCCGCCGGTAAGCGAGTCCGCGCCAGACTACCGGGGTCCGACCTTAGACCACGGGGGTTGAATCTCCGGGGTCAGGTCACCGGGGTGACGCCGCCGCACCTGTACACCGCAGTGAGCTCCTCGACCCCGGTCTCGTCAAACATCTTGCGCATCTTCTTCTCACGCTTCTCGGCGGGCGTCAGCATCCGGGACAGGTTCCTGGCGGCGTGTGTGTGTGTATGTGTGTGTGTGTGTGTGTGTGGTGGGGGGGAATTGAGCGACGGGGGACGAGGGGACGGACACTCGCCCGCTGCCCAGCAATGGCGGCGGCGCGACGTGCGCTGTCGGTCCAGCCACCCAGGCAGAGCAGCAGGGGCCAGACCTGCGCTGTGGCGCAGGCCCGACACAGACGTACGGGGCAGGAAAACATGCCTAGAACCTCTGTTCCGTCTCCCCTCCCATCCCGTCCCCTCCCCTCCTGCCCCCCCACCTGTCGTCGTGCGCAGCCTGCCGCTCCGCCATCTGCCGCCGCACCTCCGCCTCCACCGCCGTCGGGTCCGCCGCGCTCTCAGCCCCCAGCACGCGCATGAGGTTTGAGATCTTGACTTTCGGCTTGGGCGCTTCCAGCAGCCCCTGCCTGCGAAAGATCAGATCATACGCGGAACAGCAGGGCTGATATAATCATATATACCAGGGTGCCGACCGCACCACAGTGACATGAGCGCGTTCATGTGCCTAATCAACACTCGAGCGCGGCGGCCCTTTGTGCCGGCAAGGGAAAGCAGGCAGCAGCGGAGCTGCTCGTCGGCGCTAAAAGCACTGGTCCCTCTCGTCTGCGCCGATCCCGCTCGCGCGTGGTTCAGCGCCAAGCGCGCCGCCAGCCCCTGCCACCCAGCCCTTCAGCTGGTCGCGCGATGCCCTCTTAGGACCGCACCGCCTCCCCTCGACGGCCGGAACCGCAAAGCCCCGCATGAAAGCCGGCCGCGAGATCCCCTCCTCAAGCCGGCCCTGCCTCAGGCCTCCAAAACCATCAAGCCGCACCTGACGAGCTCCTGCTTCTCCTTTTCTCGCGCCTGCCGCCGCTGGGTGCGCAGCTTCTTCAGTTCCCTGCCCGTCAGGCGCAGCGGCTGGGGCGGCGGGGCGGGGCCCTCTGCGCGGCCGCGGAGGAGGCGGGGGCGAGGGCGGTCAGGCGCCCGATGTGGTGTTGCGCGTTGTCGTGTTGCGTCGATGTGATGATGGGCGAGGGCGCACGCGGGAGCAAGCATTCCGTGTGGGCGACCAGGACAGGCCTCTGAATGCAGGGGCTTAGGGAGGGGGGTGGTGCGTGCGACTGCGTTCGGGGCGCCTTGCGGAGCCCCATCGGCGGAGCCCCATCGGCGCGACCGGCCCGCTGCGGCGCGAGCAGCAGGCTGCCGAGAGCGAAAACCAAGCAGTCTGACGCAGTCCAATACGGGCGGCGCTCGCCTGCGGGCGGCTCGATGGGCACCGGGTGCTCCACATAGATCGTAATCTTGGCCTCCCTGATGCTGCCCGGCCCGCCGCCGCCGCCGCCGCCGCCCGCCGCCGCGTCGTCCCCGTCCTCATCCTTGTCTTTGTCCGCCGCTGCTGCTGCCGCCGCCGCCGCTGCGGGTGTGTTTGTCCCCAAAGGCAGGTGAGGAGCAGCATGTCACATACAGCACGCATACTCTCTCTGACACACACACACCCACACACACACACGCACACACACAGACACAGACGCAGACACACGTGCGCGAGCATGCACGTCCACACACACGTATACACACGCACCCTGAACCATCCACACCAGCACGCACACACAGTCCCACTCGGGTACCACCCAAACACAACCCCCGCCTCACCGCTGCTGCCCTCGTATCTGCCACCGACCAGCAGCGGTTTGTCCCACCACTCAACCTCGGGCACCACCGCGCCCTCCGGCAGCGACGACCGCAGCTCATCCTCCTCCCCCACCTGGATAGGGATGTTGTGTTTGACCATGTCATCACATCCTTGTACGACAGGCCTCCGGCGTACTCCAGGCACTCTATCCTGACCCCTTTGACCGCTGTATTTTGTCGGCAAGGCCTCTCGCAGCAATGAACCGGTTGCTGAAATGCACCCGCTCTCGCTTCAATGCCCGGCTGCGCCGGCCCCTTTGTACTGCTGCCGGCGAGGCCTGCGCCCCCGCGACTCAGCCAGCCCCTCCCGCCCCGCCGCGGCCGCACCTGCGCCCCGAGCGGCGTCGAGTTCGCGTCCGTCCCCTGCCCGCCAGCCGCCGCCGCCGCCACCGCCGCCGCGCCCGCGCCGGTGCCCAGCGGCATCCGGTTCGGGTCCTCCCCGGGCCCGGCCGGCCCGCGCGGTCGCGGCGGCCGCCGGCGCAGCGCCGCGTCGCCGTACTGCTGCCGCAGTCGCATGATCTCTGCCTCCCGCTGGAACGTGCCCTGCTCGATGAATTCCAGGCCGCCGCGGCGGCGGCGGCCGGCGGGGCCGCCGCCCATCCGTGGATCTATGAACTCCTCAGCTGCCTGCGGTCGTTGGAGGGTGAGGGGGTGAGGTGTGCGTCCAATGAATGCATGAGGGGCACAGGCGCTTGCGGGGGCAGCTGCACAGCTCCTCGGCTGCCGCCGAGCGGTGTCGCGGCAGCGCGGCAGGTGGCGAGGGACCTCTTCCCGCACCTGCGCCTCGGCCGCTGCCTTGAGCTCCTCTGGGGACGGCCCTGCAGGCTGGTCTGGCGGCCGCTGGTTGACCTGCAAGCAGGGCACAGATGCGAAAGTGAGAGTCAACATCACCCACAACATCACCCACGCAATCCCTGACCGAAGCTGCGCGCGACAACAACCTACGCAGAAGGAAGCATCCGCCGCCATCGCTTTGCAAACCCTTCCCGAACGCCACGGCTGTCGTGGAGGACGCCTGCTGGTGCGCCGTGAGGGCAGCAACAGGAGGCAGCAGGAGGCAGCAGGCCGGATTGCGCCGGCGATGCTAATGGGCCCGGCGCACCTTGAGTGTGCTGACTGGTGCCACCTTCCGCTTAATGACATTCCCGAACTCATCCACCTCCCGCCCTTGCGAGTCCAACAGCAGCGGCTGCGGCCGGAACCCCGCCACCCCCGCGGCCGGCAGCTGCGCGGGCGGTGCCGGCGCGGCCGCGGCGGTCGCGGCCCCAGGCGGGCCTGACGGGGGCGGCGGGAGCGGCGCGGGGGCGGCGCCGGGGGGCGGGCGGATTGAGGGCGAGAGGCCAAATTGGGAGGCGATCTCGATGGCTCGCTGCGTTGCGGCGGCGATGTTGGGGGCGGCGCCGTTGCCGGCTGGTGCCGCTGCTGCTGCTGCTGCTCCTGCTGCTGCTCCTGCTGCTGCTCCTGCAGGGGCCCTCGCTACCTGTCGAGGCCATGGGCGTGATTGAGCGTGCACAGTGTCCGTGCAGGCGGATGGGTGCAGTGCAGGCGCGCCCACCGCTGGGCTGGCTTGAGCCCCCGGCCAGCTGCTGATTCACTGCTGTTTCTTTCGAAATGCTCAACATGCACAAAACGGACAGTACACTGTATTTATCTGCCAGGAGCAGCACATCCAATGGGTGCGGCGTTGCGCCGCCCGCCGCCCACCTGCGGCAGCTTTTTCAACTTTGCCTGTAGCTCTTTCTGAGCCTGTAGCAACCGCTTTGTCTTCTCGAGCTTTTCCAGCATCTCTGCGCTGACACGAGGAGCTGCTGGGGCCGCTGCACCGTCGACCCGAGCCTTCTTTGAGTCCGGGGCCGCCTCCGCTCCATCCTCGTGCCCCCGTTTGTCCACCATTTGTTCAATAACCCAGATCCAACTTGACTGACAAGGATACCGACTTTCGAGATCACGAGAGCATGAAGAACAAGCGCGTTGCTATAGCAGCATGTATTGATCTAAAAGCCTATACGTTTTCAGTGAGTGACAATGGGAGGCCATGCCGGAGGACGCGACATCACCCTGCTGAAACAGATGCTGCTGAATTGATGCAGCTGACCTCAGTAATCAGTCCTTGCCCCACTTGCAGGCAGGCCGTACACCGAACAATGTGCCAGGTCACTCGTACACTGTGACCCGTGCGCCAACGTCTACATGACACGTGAAACATGCATAGGGGCATACAACTGGCGCACGAGCGCACACAACATGCACACGCACGCGCGTGCCTGCGCACGCACGCACGCACGCGCACACACACACACCCACACACACACACACACACACACACACACACACACACACACACACACACACGCATACACACACGCACACACAAACTCTCTCACACACATGCACTCACACAAACATAATCATACCTTGCTGTTTCGGAATTGCTTTGGCATGCTCCAGCCTTGCTGCCCTGCTTTCGTCGCTTCGCCTGCTTGTCTGAGCCACCCAAAATGGGCTACGACTACTGTATTGCCCTGGCAGTGCTCACACAATGCTCTCACTGCCCAGACAGTGCTTGGGTGGGCCGCCTGCCTGTGCGACAAACCTCACCATGAACGAGGGGCGCCTGTGTGTCAACCTGGGGCTCAGGGGGAGTGGTGGACAATTGCAGCGGCCGCTGGGCGGCGCTCGGCGTGCGGCGGGTCTTGAGGGCGCAAGTGCGAACGAGAACACACAGGGAGCGGCTGCATGGACAACCGAGGCTCTCGCTTGCTGGAAGTGGCCGCAAAACACATGCGCCCAGGTGCTCGACGATCGTGACTATCAGGTGTGCGGCTGCCTTATAATGTGTACGCACGAGCAAACGCGGCGCTGGGCTGTGCAGGCTGGTCACCCGAGTTGCTGCAGGTGGGGACGCTATTGGCAGCATGGCATGGCACAGCCCACAGCAGCACGAGGTAGTGCCAGCTGCCTAGGAGGTAGCTGGCACTACCTCCTAGGCAGCGTAACCAGAACCGTGTTGCGATGACGGTGCTGACCGGCTTTTGTCTGCCATTTTCAAGTGTCTTCGCGCCTCCTCCTCCTGCTGCTGCTGCTGCTACTGCTGCTGCTTGCTGGAGGCAGCCCATGACCGCAGGGCCTGCAGTGTTGAGTGGATGTGGCCACCCCAGGCGCACCAGCTGGCATGCTCGCTGGGTTCGCATGCAGCCAATATTGACGGCGCCTTACAGGGGAGGTTGCCAGGCAGCCCAGGCGGTGATCTTGCAGCGCCTGGGTGACCCCTGACCTCAGTTCATTAGATGCTGACCCAGGCCCTCCGCCGCTGGACAGCAGACAGATGGGCGCCTCGACGCGCGTGCAACACGAAGTGCGCGCGGAAGCAGGGAGCAGGCGGTTTCAAAAGGGAAAAGCTGCGATTCAGCGGCCACGCCCCTGGAGAGCGGCGGCCGTGCGCAGGGCACAAAATGGGGGACAGCTCAGGCGTTGGCTACCCCGCCATGGCTGTCTGGCGATAAAAGCTGTGGTGCAGTGCTCGCTGCCAGCGCTAGTTGCTTACTACTCCTTGTCGCTGTCACTGTCGCTGCGGATGCGCTGGACGGTCCCCTTGATGTCAGTGGAAAGCGTCGCCGCCACCTGGAAAGCAGGACGGGGCACATCGCAGATTGATGTTCGGAGGGTTATTCATTGCACGACAGTTGCTGGAGTCCCTTTTGTAGGTGAGCGTGGGCTCGTGCACAACCAGGGCCATGTGCGGAGTGCTGCTGCAAGGGCGAATGGATTTTCAAATATGTGCTGACTTGGACTGCTGCCGATGTTCAGGCCTGCCGCGTTGTTCACACCCTACTCATACAAGCCTCTAGAGTATGCAAGTGGCACACGGTGAGATGTTCAGTCACAGTGCCAACATCATAGTGACATCACAGCGCGTCAGCCCGCACCTGCTTGAGGGCTGAGGGGTCCGCGGCGATGCCCTCGACGCTCTTCATCGTCTCACGCAGGGTGACGTCGTCCTGCAGCGCAGCCAGCACCTGGGGCAACAATGTGGGGGGACGTGCGGGGTTTTGAGTGGTGGGCCGGTTGAGGTTTGTTTTGGGGACGGGGCTGCACGGTACAGGTGCTGCCTGTGAGAGCGTGAGCCACATGTGTTGCTCTAATATAGGCGAGCTTTGATCAGAGGTGCGCATGTCATGCCGAGGTGTGAGATGTCACGGGTTATGGCATGCAGAACAGCCCCAGCAGAAAAGGCGGGCGGTGAAACGTCATACAATGGCGCCGTCTGAGCGCGAGGAGCGTCTGGCTCGTGCACGGCACCACGGAGGGGCAGACCCTGCTCAGAGCGGGCGGCGCACCTGCAGCTTGGCGGGCGGCATGCGCTTGAGGATGGGGAGAATCGCCACGTTGAAGAAGCCCGGGTCGTTCACCTGCAAAACCCCACGGGAGACAGCACGGGGTCAGGAGGGGCGAGCCACGATTGGGGCGCCCCACGCTCGCCGGGCGCCGGCGAGGCGTGGCAGCCCGCTCTTTGCACATGCATTAAACAATCCAACAACATTTGATACATCCGCCCACCAACCCCTACACCCTGGGCTGACGACGGGATCCTGAACGCACACGCTTGCCGGCGCCTATGGCACGACAGCGGCGCCGCCACAGCCAGCAGGGCGTAGAGCGCGGCATCAAGACCCCACCTGCGCCTCAAAGGCCTTCTCGTCAAAGGGCTGGTCCGCGCTGCGCAGCAGCTGCTCCAGCAGCCGCCGGCTGGAGGGGTTGGCGAGCAGCTGCCCGAACACCCGCCGCAGCGACTCAGCGTCCACTTGAACCTCCGAGTCAGGCGCAACCGCAGTCGCCACCGCCGCCGGCGCAGCCGAGGGCGAGGCGGCGGCCGCGGCCTTGGGCGCGGCCTTCGAACCTGCGTTCGAGGGGCGGGGGGCGTGTGGGGAAGGGAGGGGCGTGAGTGATGTCAGCGGGGCGCGGGTGGCAGCCAGGCAGCGCGTGAGGGAGGTTGGCCTGTACGGGGGAGGCAGACGGCATGTGGGCTCCATGTGCAGGCCTTGGGCGCCGTGCTTTGAAGCTAGGGTTCTAAGGGGAGCCCTGGTCTTTCTTGTGTGATGGATGGCCGTTGTGCGCGGGGCGGCGGAGGGCAGGCAGAGGGGCTGCCCCCTGCCTCCCAATAGCTGGCCTGGCCCGCCCCCTTGCAGCGGCCCCCCCTGTTCCTAGCTGCCCTCTAAAGGGCGCTCTCAGGGGTTGCTGTGCCGGGGGCTGGGGTACAGGGCAGGAATTTTACACCCTGGCGCCATTCCGAGGCGGGCCGCGGGCCGGTGGGGTACAGTACAGGCATGATGTTGTTTGCAGCTGCCGGGCGCAACGATATGGTACGGTTTTGAGTTGTTTGGGCAGGTTGCGCTGCCAGACACACGGGCAGCTTCCGCCGCGCCGCGCCCGAGTGGAGGGCGTCTTTGGGTGTCAGGACGTCAACAATCACATTGAGACGTGTCATAATGTGTTCGGGCGGGGCCCGCCGGCCCCCAGTGGGTGGGCCGGGGCGCTGCGCCGCGGTCTGCGCGGCGTGTGCGCGCGTCCCCACAAACAGGGGGGCGCCCCGGGACGACGACACAACTCCGCTCGCGCCATCAACGCGCGCGCGACGACAGGACAGCTGCATTCTTTCGATGATGTTCCCGTGCGCTATCACACACCAAAATTTATGTGCAACCCCACATCAAACCAGGTCAGATCAGGTCGTATCGGACGTCATCACATCACCCCGCCTTGCTCTCCCCCTCCTCACCAGAGGCGGCCGTCGCCGCGGCCGGCTTGGCCGCCGCGGGTGACGGCGGCGCCGGCTTGTCCTCCTTCTTGCCCTGACCGCCCGCCACGGGCG